CTCCTTTTCAACCTTGGCCAGTGTCAGCTCAAGATCATCAATGTCTTTCTTCAGTTCTGAGCATTCGTCCTCCAGTTTCCTCTTCTTGGATGTCAATTCAGCATTCATTTCTTCTTCATCTTCAGCTCGCTCAGTCAGCTCCTTAATTTTAGCTTCCAGTTGGATTTTGGTTTTGATTAGCTGGTCACATCTCTCCTCGGCATCTGCCAAGCCATCAGATTCCTGCAAGTAGCAAAAGAAAAAGTGTTAATAAAAATATTGTATCTTCTTATTTCCTTAATGATCAAAGGAACAGTTCCAGATCATATCATATATGTTCCTACTGACAAGAAATATCCCCTGTACTTAATGCTAGCATGTTGTTACATAAGCAAATACAGATAGTTCTTGACTTACAACAGTTCATTTTGTGACTATTTGAAGTTACAAAAGCACTGAAAAACCTGACTTATGACCATTTTTCCCACTTACAACTGTTGCAGCCTTCCTGCAATCTCATTATCAAAATTCAAATGCTTGGGAACTGACTCATATTTATGACGGTTGCAATGTCCCAGGGTCACGTGATACCCTTTTGCAGCCTTCTGACACGGAAAGTCAATGGGGAAACCAGATTCACTTAACAACCATGTCACTAACTTAGCAACTGCAATGATTCACTTAACAATTGTGGCAAGAAAAGTCAAACTCATTTAGCAACAGAAATTTTGTGCTCAATTGTGGTTGTAAGTTGAGGACTACCTGTACACATTTCTTTTTTCTTTTAATGAAAACGTACTTTTATGAGTTTTATAATGGATAACCTAAAAGTACACTCTTGAGCTATTTTCATCTCTCTTTGTGTTTTATAGTGCTTATAGCTGGAATCCCTTATTAAAAAAACTATCTTCCTGATTCCCATTTTCTTTCTGAGATGAATTCTCCTGGCGAAATCATTGTGGGGTGAAAGTTCAGATTTTCATCTCCTGCTCAAACATAATAAACAGGCTACAATCTTAGGCATATCTAGGACATTTAAAACAAAGGGTAGATTCAGTTTTCTGCACTTTTTACAGTGTTCTAAATGTACCCCATATAATATTTTGTGTTCAAATAACTGGATGCTGGGAAACACAAGAGGAAGAAATAAGATACGGATATTTGTACGGGTCTCAGATACGTTCTGATTATAATTGCTTTGACCCTTACTAACAAAACAATTCATAAAATATAATGGTGGGGGTTAGCAAAAGTACAGCACATCACTGAAGTGGAACATGATGAAGCTGGAGGGGAAAAGGCTTGAAGTATGGCTGGGGAGGAGTGGGAGAGAGATATCCATTAAGCAGGAGACGTTATTGAGAAGCTGGATAGAACAATGAGAAATGGATAGAACAATAAAATAAAAAAAGAGAGTGAGGAAAATATTTTTTAAAAAAAATAAATAGTGATTTCTTCTGGGTTTCCATTTGTAATTTAAAATCCATTAGCTCAATGCTGTATGAAAATAAATGAACAAGCTAAACATAATTTCATTTCAAGATTTTCTGCAGTATTGTCTCACATGTAATCTGTACCAACGGACCTCAGAATAAGGTTACGAGAACAAAAAGTTCTAATGTCAGCAAAATTCTTACAGATTGGACTTGGAGCTGCAAGTCATTTTTCTCCTGCATCAGGGACACCATTTTTTCTTCCAATTCCTTCCGTTTGGCTTCCGATTTTACAAGATCCTCCTTTGTTTTCTCAAACTCTTCCTTCATGTTGGCCATTTCCTTCTCTGACTCTGCACTCTTCAGCAGGGGTTTGATCTTGAAGTACAATTTCATCCAAGGCCAGTGCTTTACGTTCATGAATGAACGAACATTGTACTGAATAGTGAAGATGGATTCTCTGGAAGGAGGGCAAATAAAATTTTAAGCATGATTCTACTATCAGCTTGAGATAGTACTGATGCATTTATGATATATTGCCACATTATGCTCATAGCCTTGTTACATTAATGCCATTGTGAGCCTTTATTATAAAAAAATATCTACCTCCTTTCCATCATTTTCTTGAACTCTGATCTCATTAGAAAGCCACGGCACATAGCTTGGGTACGTGTAATAAGCATAGCCAACTTATCATCTCTCATTTCTTCTAGAAGACCAAGAAGGCCAGCTTTGAAGAACACCTTGAGGGGGAAACAAATGCAACGTTTGTGGTCTTTTCAAATAAACCCAATTTTTAATCTTTTTGGGACAGATAGTAATTTTACCTTGGTATGACCAAACCTATATTGAGTATGGTCCACATCAATAGATCCAAGAAGTTTCTCAGAAGCCTTCTTGCTGTCCATGAATTGTCCCTCTGGGATAGCACTTGCATTTAATATTCTATATCTGTTGGAAGAAGCATAGTTTATGTTTCTAAAGACATTTAAAAATTCTAGCTTCAAGAATTATGAAAGTTAGAGTTACAAATATGTGAGTCACAAAGTGGAAGATGGCTAATATTTAGAGGACCAACCTCTGTTTGAAGTCACCATAAATGATCCTGCTAGGAAATCCCTTTCTGCAAATGCGGATGCCCTCCAGCACACCATTACATCTCAGTTGGTGCAAGACAAGCTCGTGTTCCATGGCACCTTAAACAACATTGGAATGTATTAGTGGTATAGAATTGAACTAAACTATACTAGTGCTGCTTCATGCACAATTAAACTATATAATTCTTACCAGGAGTTTTAGTTTCATTGGGGATGAGGCACCGCACAAAGTGAGGGTGAGTGCTCCTCAGATTACTCATCAGCTTGTTTAAATTCTCCTGTAGGATTAGAAATATTTGTGACATTTAAAGTAGATTTCATAACTACCAATACTTTTTAAAGAACCTACTTTAAATTATCTATTAGATTTCCAGGCCACCTTTCTCCTACAGCTTAACATGGCATTCGTAGGTGTAATCACCATAATAATCCCTATGAAGTAAATTAGGTTGAGAAACTAGAGACCAGCTCCAATACACCAATGATCTGAAACTTGGTTCTTTCATAGTCCAACATCTTAATAATCATATGGAGCTCTGTGATTGAGGGAGCAATGAAAGGGAAAAATCTGAAACAAAATCAAGCAATATTGAGTATCCTTTATCATGTTTTTATAGTGTGTAGTTTTGGATCTCTGGGTCATTTTTTCAGAGGAAGGAACTCGGGAATAGATTTTTAAAAAATTTATTTAAAATAGATTTTTATCAGGTTGTACAAATAATAAAATTGTGCTTACCCTAAACAGAGCAGATACGGTCTGGAAGGAAGACCCCTTCTTCTTTCCAGCTTTCTTGCCACCACCATCTAAAGAACAACATATATATTACAGAATATATATTACGGAATATATATTACAGAATTAAAATGTTGTGGACAAAATACATCATGTTTATTTATTTATATTTGAAAGGTATGTTCTTTGGATAAGTTCTTACCAACATCTGCAGGGCGATCAGCAAAGAGTAATGCCAAGGTCTTCATGGATGATTTCTGGTACAGCTGAATGACACTTTCATTCAATGGGTCCTTGTTTTTTTCCAGCCAGCCGGTAATGTTGTAGTCCACAGTGCCAGCATAGTGCACAAGGGAGAAATGAGCTTCTGCTTTACCTTTCCCAGGCTTAGGCTTTTCAAAGTTCTTGCATTTGCCAAGGTGCTGGTCATAGAGCTTGTTCTTGAAAGAGGTGTCTGTTGCCTTAGGGAACATGCATTCTTCTTCTAGGATGGAGAAAATGCCCATGGGCTGGAGAGAGAGCAAGATAGAGAGATCGCTGCAAGAAATACTCTTCATTGTAACAGAAATGAAACTTTTCATATTCAGCATTTAGGAATTGTTAACTGTAGCAAGATGAAATTAACCATTCATTAATTTTACAGATGTGTATTCCATTTCAGGTTTTAAAAACGTATATAATCTTGAATGCTTAAAAACATTATTTTTAAAATACCTTCTCAATGAGTTCAATGCAGGCAGCCAGATCCATCCCAAAGTCAATGAACTCCCAGTCAATTCCTTCTTTCTTGTACTCTTCTTGCTCCAGGACAAACATGTGATGGTTGAAAAATTGTTGCAGTTTCTCATTGGTGAAGTTGATGCAAAGCTGCTCCAAGCTATTATACTAGACAATGCAAAGTATTTTGAAAATAACAATTATCTTCACCAGCGTTCCTTTTTCTAGGCTTTCTTAAATATTTTAAGGTTTATGTGAAAGTTACAAATATCTAAGCTCCTTCTTGAATCAGTTCTGCTCATAATATTCTCCACTGTTAAATCTTTATTTTCAATATGCTCTATCATCACTGCATTCAGTACTTTGAAAGCCTATATCTTTGCGGCAGCTGACTTGAATTTATGACCCACACTCTTCCTGCCAAAATATTCTACAATTTCTTCTCTGTGCCAGATATTTCTATTTAAATCATCCTTCCATCAACAACTCAAAAATTATTTGTCTACTTTAGTGCCTTGGCATTCAGAACATTGTTGAACTGTATTTCATTCATTCATGCTTAAATATTTTACAATATAAACATCACATCCCTACTCTCTAACACTATGCCATCAAGGGCCAATTTCCTTACATCAAAGATCTCAAATCCAGCAATGTCCAACACTCCTATGAAGTGCTGTCTAGATTGTTTGGTGTCCAACTGCTGGTTGATACGAATAACCATCCATAGAAACATCTTCTCAAAAACAGACTTAGCCAAAGCACCAACACTATTGTACACCTGTGTAGAACAAAAGGGATTATATTAGCATATAATTGGGCTAATTATCCACTCTCTATGAAACCTTTTCTTGTTAATCTTTACCTGCTGAACAGTTTGACCTTTGGTGACAAATTCATTGCCAACTTTGACTCGGGGGTAGCACAGAGCTTTCAACAAATCTGCTGAGTTGAGGTTCATGAGATAGGCAGCCTTGTCCGCAACTGAGCACAAAAAAAGAGGAAAGATTTGTAAGCAAATTGTACGCTTTCTACATTGGAAAAGCTATGCATAAACAAACGTTGTTCATATACTTGAAATATATACTATATATACACTTCAGCTGACTGTGATCTGCAGTTCAGCGGTTCAAATCTCACCGGCTCAAGGTCGACTCAGCCTTCCATCCTTCTGAGGTGGGTGAAATGAGGACCCAGACTGTGGGGGCAAATTGCTGACTCAATTTGCTAAAAAAAATTGTAAACCACTTAGAGAGGGCTGAAAGCCCTATGAAGCGGTATATAAGTCTAATAAATAAATAAATAAATATTAAAGAATTCTGATTGTAGTGACATACAGGAAGAGAGCCTTCTCTGCTGTTGCCCCTGCCTCTGGAACACTCTTCCCCTCAGAGGTGACGCAGGGCCCCACTGTCTCCTGGCCTTTAAGAAAAACATGAAAACATGGCTTGCTTGGGGTGCAGAGGAGCATGCAATCATGGAATTGATTAATGCCCTGAAATCCCTCTCCCCGCCTTTTAATTAATGTTTAACAATGTTTGCCTCTTTTACATTTTATATACTTTTTATGTTTTGAATATTTATTTGTGATTTCTCCTGACTGCTCTGTGAGGAGATGGACAGTTTTAAAATTTGGTGAATGAATGAATGAATGAATGGCATGCTTTACAAGAAATAAATACAGAAAAAGTTAGACCATATTTTCTTAGGATGTCGCTGAATTTTTCTGTGTCGAGGAGGGAAGAAACAGCTATATCTGTCTGAATATAAATTAGCTTCCTAAGGTTAAATGAAAACTATTGCTAAATGAAAACATTTGGTCATCCATTTCTGCTTATTTAATTTCAAATTAGATATTACAATACAGGTAGTCCTTGTTTACCAAGCATTTGTTCAGCGATCATGACAGTGCTGAATAAGGAAACTTGTGAACAATTCTCAAAGCCTTGGCCCTTGCAGCCTCCCTGTGTTCATGTGTTCATGATGAAGATACTTGCTAAACAGCATGGATTTACAATGGTCACAGCATCTCACAGTCACATGGTCAACATTTGTGGTCCTCACAGCCAGCTTCCTACAAGCAAAGTCAGTGGGGAAGCTGGCAGGAAGTCACAAGTCCTAGTCATGTATCATCACGCTTAGTGACCTGCAATGGTTTACTTAACAACAACAGCCAATAAACTGCCATTGTTAAGTCAGGCACAGTCACATGATTTTGCACTTTATAACCACAACACTTAGTAATAAAATTGTCAGTCCTAATTCTAGTTTGTGAGTAAGGATTGCCTGTATAATTAGTATGTTATAAAAAACAATATTTAATTTTTGTGCATAGGACAATAGAAGAAAGCATTATTTTCAAATCCTAATTTATTATCTCTGCAGTACTGAAGTCAAGTCAGATTAATTTCCTACAAGGTGTAATCCATGTCTATCTGCAATGTTTATTTCTTAAAATAAGCATTACATATAAAAACTTCACAAAATAGCAATTGACATATTCTGTCTTTTCTGCATAATTAGGGAGCTGTCATTTACAAATTCATTATTGACTATGTATCCGTCATCTTAATATCAGAAAGATAGGTGGGACAGTCTAGAGAAGAAATTCCCTGGCTTTAGGAAAATTTATTTATCTTCATTCAAGTTATCAGATCATCTCCTATAAAGTTATTAGAGATGTGAAAGGATGTTTCACTTAAATGACTAACAACACAAATATACACTGCTCAGAAGTTAGCTCCTCCACAGCCTTAGGAACACATTCTTATGCATTAAACTTCAGCTGTTCTAATTAAAACAGCTGAACTTCAAGAGAGATTTTTGTTTGATTTGGTTTGGGCAGGTAATTCCATCACCAACTGTGAAAATACCTTCCGTGCCGTCTGGCTCAGCCTGTTCCTCTCGCTGCTTCTGCTTGAACTTCATGTTCCCATAGTGCATGACGGCTCCCGTCAGCTTGTAAATTGCTGTCTTTTCTTCAGCATTGAAGCCCAGGATGTCAATGGCACTCTGGCAAGGCAATGAAGATAAGTAACTATTCTTCCTATTACTTCAACCTAGAGTACAGTAATAGATTTTTAAATATTTATAGGTATTTGTATCATTTACATCTGTGGCCATCAGCTCCTCTTGATCATTTATGCTGGCAACTGTGATTTCTCCTTGGCTTACAAACGTAAAGTCATATGGGTTCGTAGAGATCAGGAGCAACTCTGAATGAAAAAAATAAAACTTGCTTTATTCAAGATAGAAATTATTTATGGCAACAATGGGATCAAAGTTAGCCTATTGTCATGGGAAGAGTCAAAAGATGCTTTTTACCAATCAGTTCTGGCTTCTGGTTGGACATGATCTGATAAAAGATGTGGTAGCTCCTTTCAGCCTTGAGCTGGAAGGTAACTCTGGACTTCTCCAGCAAATCTGGCAAGAAAGGAGAAGCAAGCAAATAAAGAATGTGAGAAAGAAAAATGGGGAGAGAAGGAAAAAGAATTGAGTGAAAGAAACCCCTTACAATGTAAACCCCTTACATGCAAGGACAATCTCTTACATGTCTCAATGTCAGCAGAAGCCAGCTTGCCTGTGGCACCAAAATGGATTCTAATAAATTTTCCCTTAAAAGAAGAAAAGGAGAATTATCACAAATCCAAGGCTGCATCTTCTGTGTATTTCTACATCATGCCAAGTTTCAACATGGAACTTACAAAACGTGACGAATTGTCATTCCTGACAGTTTTAGCATTTCCAAAGGCCTCCAGTAAGGGATTGGCACTGATGATTTGATCTTCAAGGGTGCCCTGAAAAGTAATATTCCTGTCAGATTCTGTATCATCAATCCTGCAAAAAATGTCATGTAATCACAGATCATTCTTTTCTGGCGGACAAGCTACCTGCATTTTGCCTTGTTGGGCCGGTTCTTCCTTTTTCTTGTCAGTAGCAGCTGCAACTGTTGCAAAGTACTGAATTACACGTTTTGTGTTCACAGTCTTTCCAGCACCAGATTCTCCACTGTTGACCAAAGGGGCAAACAAAGTGTTAAGATGCAGTTCATCCTCTCCATAACTGAAATTGAGCTCCCATTACTGAAGAGTAAGCAAGCTAGGACATCAAAAGGATATAAAACCCATGTGACATGGTCATCCACTTTGAAACTTATGAAGTTTATTTATTGAAATATATTACATATTTACTGGTCTAACAGTAAAAGTATAAAAATAGACATTTGAAGGAACACGTAACCAAGATCAAGTTCTAGGGTCCGGAAGTCTACAAGTATTTTTAAAAATTATTATTTAACAATTTGGAGTACTCTGCCAATAAAGCAAATACAGAGCTTAATAAAGAAATGAACTTACGTGATCAGGACAGACTGATTCTCACGATCTGGAAAGAAACATTTTAAAAAATCACAGATTTTTTAAAAAAATATAGTTCCCTGTGAACTTCCATCAACTGAGTGGGAGCTCATGCAACATTAAAATTGCCCACTTAAGCACTATGCCTCTTAAGGAAGAAATAGCCCTGAAAAATCAAACATTTATTTGTCGAACATTATAAATGTGCAGTGATGACAATTATGGAATGGAATGTGTCATGAATGAAAGTTAACTATACAGGTGGAATATTCCCTAATCAGCCAAGTTGGGAAATTTCTATAAAGCATTCCTTTTCGCTATAACAGCAATTCTCTGCACTTACCGAGAAATAGAATATGAAGCTCTAGACCAGTGATGGCGAACCTTTTCAGCACCGAGTGCCGAAAAGGGAGCGTGCATGCGCTCATCAGAGCCACAACCTGGAAGAGGGCCTCATATGCACATGCCGGAAAATGAACTTCCAGTTTCTGGTGGGTGCATGCGCGCCGCCCAGCTAGTTGCCCAGCTAGACTGGTGCCCATGCACGCACAATGATCACGCAAAAAAAAAAAAAAAAAGAAGACCAGCTCTTACAGTTTCCGGCACTGGTGCATGCATGAAGGCCAGCTGATCATCATCCGCGCATGCATGCAAGCAAAAAACCCAGAGGAGAAACGGGCAACATGGTGCATGCTAGGGAACAGGGTTCCATGTGCTACTTCGGGCACGTGTGCTATAGGTTCACCATCATGCTATAGACCATAGGATTTATTGAACATTCTCTATAAATTGGCAGTTCCATGGATTTCTTTGTACATAATTCCCCTTACATGTACAAAGAATATCATATGTTACTGGCAACTTGGGAGCAGTTACATTTTGGATGCACAAGATACTATACTCAGGATTTAGCCCTATATGCAAATGATTGAATCAATTAATATTTTGGAATTACAAAATATACTAAACCACAAATTAATAAAATTGACTGCAATTTCACAATGCAGAATACTACGGAATTTTTTTGGGTAAAAATTAATCAAGCATTAGTATCTTGCCTGTCTGTACCCCAAGGGTATTTAACTGACTTAGTCAATCATGCTGGGGAAATTTAAGAGATGGACATATAAAGACTGCATATATTCAAAGGCCTGGCAGAAACATCAAGCCCCAGCTTCATCTTTAAGGTCTTCAGAAATTGAGGTTCCATATCTTAGAGGGGGAAATTGTTGCAGAAACTGAAAAAGTGTTAAAGCGGGAAACTGAATCCAAATCTAGAATTTGCTCTTAGTCTCAGAGGACAAATTTGACCTATACTGTTTTCATTGGCATACACATGCAATATTGATTATCCTTTTTCCTTTTTTCCATGACACATTTCATATTTCTTTCTCTGAAAAAATAAAGCAAGCAATTAAGCTACAGGAAACTTATTACTATTAGTAAATGATTAATTTCTATAACTCCACATGATTAAGCACATTAAGCATGTGACCTAAAGGCCACATTGTGTAGGAAGCCCACTGAGGTGACTGGTAAAAATATTCTCCTTCTTTATTAATTAACCATTTACTCACCAGTTAACATGGACTGATATGCATTATCAGAAATGGAGAAGATGTGAGGAGGGGCCTCTTGACGCTTTTTGCCTCTGTAGGCATTTACCACTTCTGGATTATACACTGGAAGCCACTTGTAGGGATTAACAGTGACACAGAAGAGACCTGAGTAAGTCTGCAAAAAATAAAACAGAATTTTATTTACTTTATCTTTCATTGAAAATTTCTTCCAATAGCATCTTCAATCAAATATTTATGTAAAAATCCATAACATAACCAAATATATAAATATATAACATCTGTTTCCTTGAAACATCAGGAAAAGAATACATAATTTAGAAACAAGCACTGTAGTTACTTTGAAATTAAAAATCAGGTTTACTAATGAATTGATTAACAGTAAACAGGAGAACTTAACGTAAGTTATTTGATGTAAAGGATTCTTAGGAGGTCTTAAAACCAGTCACTGGTGGAAAAATACCACCACAGAATATGCTTACATAGATCATCCAGGCTGCATAACGCTCTTTGAGATTATACAGGACAGCAGGTTCATGGAGATGAGTCATCATGGCCATGTCCTCAATTTTGTCATATTTGGGAGGATTCCTGGAAAAGACTTGATCATCTTTCACAGTTACAGTCTAGGGAGGAAAAAAAACCAGACCTGCATATATCAACTTGGAAAACGGAAAGAAGAAAATTGTAGTAATTGCACTTTATTGTCTCTGTTCAACCTATGAGATCACAATGACCATGTTTTGGGATATTTCTATGAAACGATGTCACCTAGTAGTACCTTTTATCACAGTGCCTATCCTATTGAACTTAATTCCCCCTGAGATTCTGGCTTTGCTTTAGGATCTTGAAAACCCAGTTCTTTCCCTTCACTGTGGGCCAGAACTCAAGATGAACCCATCAAAAATGAAAGTGTTTGAAGGAACTAAACACTGAACTGTATAATTTCCTTTCTGGATGTTGATGGAAGTTTTCTTATAAGGGTTAGGCAACTATAACAATCAGTCAAACAAATAAACAAATGTAGATATTTTACTTACTTCTCCTTCTTCAGTTTTGACAGTAACTTTCCCTGCTTCCCTACTCTGGATACTGCCTTTTATGTAAGCGATCTTAGGATCCACCACAAAAACTGAGTTCTTGGCATCAAAGGGCTTATTTTGGGCCTCAATTCTTTCCTTTTCTGACTTTCGAAGAAAAGAGGCAGCTTCCCCAAATGCTGCCATTTCAGCGTCTGAAGACATAGTTGCAATTTATGTTGCGCAGGAAGAAAACTAAAGGAAAGAAACACACAAACCAATTCATGAAAATGTGGAAATCCTTATTAACTTTTCTTTTGGCCTTTTTTCACAACATGAAATTTGTATCTGTTCTTTGATTTGAACCAAAGCATCTTATTATGTGAAAATAGAAGATCATACTGCTTACACAAACATTGAATTTCATGTCATAAATCTTTTCATATCCATGAAATCTGTTCCATTATTCATGATATTGGATTATGTAAACCACTGAGGCGGAAAGAGCAGTTGGAATTCATCCACCAAATTACCTGATGAATATAAACTTTGCTTATGATTGCAAATTCCCCAGGTAATTGAAAGGCAGAATATAAATTAATCAAATAAATAAATATACACTTGAGATATTTGGGTAAGAAAAATATTTGAAAAATATTAAAATAGAGGTACTAAATTTAAGAAATAAGGATACTATTGCCTAACTTGACAATGCTCACTTGGAAGGTATATTATAATGTTTTTTAAAAAATGAAATGTCCTAATTGTTACAAAAAATTAGTTTATCTCATTATTCTTCACATTTAGATTATCATTAAATTATTTACTGTTTTTCATTGGTGTCATGCATAAACAATTTGACTTTGAAATTTATTAAAGTCCCAATTCAGCAAACTTAAGTTTTTTTCTTTGGAAGTTCACTTAAAATTGGGTATGCAGCCTGCTTGGCTAAAGTAGAATGTCTCTACTATTGAAATTTGAAACATATTTCAATTATTATTATTACACTATTATTTACATCGGGTGGGTGAACAATAGGCCAACACGGCGAGATACTTTACAATAATTCTATATTTCCTCTTGAGATATTATTGCTTACCATCATGGTTAATTTTCAGCACAAACTGTGTCTTAAGGGAAATTTCATGTCAAAATCTTTTGTACATTCCATACTATTCAGATGATTTCATCACTTGCATATTAAATCTTATCATGATCCAAAATCTGGACCTCCATCGTAGAGGTGGTTTTGTGGATTTGATCAATGGCTTTGTAGCAATTCAGAGAATTCTTTCAAAAGTTTGGTACCAGTATCTTCGAGGTCACTACCTTAGTTGACTTGTAATGGAATGCAGCCTCAATGCAATCTATGACATACTATAAACAGTACACAACCCAAAGGAAGCATATTCCTCCCTGAATTGCATGCATATCAGTCCCTAGTATTTATTTGTCATTAATCTGTCTGTCCCCAACGATGTAATCAATCAGGGTCTTACCTTATGTGGTACTATGGATTTAAAGGCAGACTCGAGCTGGCCAGTTACTGCAAAGTAAAAATGATAGATCCTTTACAAAACGTCCAGTATGTAGCTTAAGTGGATGAAGTAGATTTTAAATCCCTAGTGACATAGGCAGCCCTGCTCAGTTATGCCAAAACCAACCGGAATGAATTGAGATGTGAAGAATTAGAGTGAGTCCGTATTCCTTTTACACCCTCTTACCTTTAAACTGTTGGTGCAAGGACCTAAGAGGCTGGTCCCAAGGCTACTTATATATGAAGTGATTTGCATGCACAGAACCCTCCTCTTCTTTCTAAGGTCAAAACTGTTTCAGTAATCTTAGCAACTCTTAGCAAGATTCTCATACATATTTGACGCAAATAGATATAATTAGACATATCAACACCATGGATCAGTCTATAAATAATTTGTCAAGGAGAGAGGATTATGTATGAGAATTTATATATTGCACTTCAATTCTGTTAATCGGTTGAAACACAGTAAGTAATAATTCCTGATCTTTATAAAGTGCAATTCAGAGGCAAGAGACTGAATTGAGGTACCTCAAGCACTGGATTGGAAATGTATATTCATGGAAAAGGAACAGGAGGCTAGCAAAAATATTAAACATTAAAAAGATGGACACAGCCATCAATACAGGTAGAAAGGGAAATGACAATAGGACAAGAAGTAAACTCATGAAAGGGGAGGGTAAAAGAAAGACCGGCCCTAAAGCAAAGTTATAGGGACAGATTAAAGAACACCAACACTAAAAGAGTAAGTGCAACTGGCTTACAAAACCATGTGGGGAAAAAATAAAGGTATTACGAGAAAAAGTGTCTTGAAATAATTTGAAACTAATTTTGTTTCATTTATTGTTAAAATAAGAAAAGAAAGAAAGAATGCAGACTCTTTTTACCTCTGTAAAAAGAGGAGAGTAAATTTTGAGGGAGATTAATGTGTTCCATAGGTCTGATGTTTCTCAATGAGCAGCTGTGGCTATAGTCTCAAAATTAAAGATGGTAAACTGGTACATGTTTGAGATTACATATTGCTTGAAAAAATTCCTCCTCTTCAAAAAATTGTTTTCCTTCACATCTGCAGTAAAAATAGCCAACCATAAAAATTCTGGGTCCTAGAAAGACTTCTGAAATATATTTCCTTAACTAAGGGCCATTACTTTTGGCCCAGCTTCATTATAAAGGAGAGAAAAGAAGTTCAGGACTTCTCTCTAGCTGTCATCCGAAGTCACTGCCTCTTTTGGCAAGGTGCCTCTGACTTTGACTGATGGGACCTTAGGGGAAATTGGTGGAATCACATTTAGTATTTGGCACCAACTTAATTTACAGAAGTGTTTGGCATTCAAAGAATCTGAAAGCTGAGAACCAGAAATTCAGCTGGTGAAGGACAGTATTACACTAATGGCCTTTTCAGGTCTGATCTCTTTATAATGAATAACAAAGAGATTTTCTGAATATATATATACAGTGTATGTATGTATGTATGTATGTATGTATGTATGTATGTACGTACGTACGTACATACATACATACAGTATGAATGGCCTTGGTAGAGATGAGAAACTATCCTTTTGCAATGTGGCATTGAAAAAGACATAGAAGTTCTGGGTTTCAGCATATCAACATTTATCTTGTTCCCCGAGTTAAAACCCTAATCCTCAGCTAGCATGGGTAAGCCAAGTGTATGAAGGAAGTAGTAATTTAATAATAGTAATATTAATTTAAACAAAAAAAAACATTTTTCTGGTTTTGATCCAGCAACCTGTTAGCCACAGTGCTTTTTAAAATGCTAATAGGAAAAGAAAGATCTTAGGAGCTCTTAGACAAAAGAAACCAATATACTGTTTGAAGTGTATTCTCCTCTCTGCAAAGAAGCCATTGAACTTCTAACTTCAGCTTGTAAGGAAGTGATCCAGCTAAAACAGAGGGTGTTCATGGTGACCTAGATTGGGGAGGGAGTAGAGAATTGGTAGAAGGGAATTCTATTTGTAGCTCAATGTTAAACTAAGGGACCCTTTATGGTCCCTGAGCTTCGGTCTTTTCTTGCAAGTGTTTCATTCATTACCTAGTTAGATAATTAAATGTCTACAAGAAAACAACCAAGCTCAGAGAGCACCAAGGACCACACAGATAGAAAATTGTTGGGGGACCACCTGAGGGTGGTCTCCAGCATTGAGTCTGAAAGCTCTGAAGAATAAATTTCTGGTCCCAGTGATCAAACCAGATTGGATCCTGCAGCATTATCCTGCAACATACATGTTTGCCTTCATTCATGAGAATTGTTTCTCTTATATTTGAATATGTGTGAGGGAGACTTGCCACTAGAATGAAGTTAGGCTTTTTTGGAAATTTCTGAATTCATACCAAGCAGAAAAGATTCGTAATAACTGAGCTAGAGCAACAGGCATGGTGAATAAGCCCACTATTGGCAGTGTTGCCCAACCTGGTTTTTATTAGACTACTGTATAATGCACTTTACATGGGACTGCCCTTGAAGAATATCCAGAAGTTTTAACTGGTATAAAATTTATTTATTTTATTAATCAAATGTAGCTGCTCATCTCAGAAGAGGTGGTTCCAAGCAGTGTACAATAATCAAACCAACAGAGCAGGAAGATACAGGTGCTAGTTGTATGATACCATTGCTCTGCAAACTCCATTGGCTTTCGGTATGCTTCTGGGTGCAATTCAAGGTCCTGGATGTCACCACTGAAATCCTTCTTGACTTAGGACTGGGTTACTTACAAGGATTGTTTCTACCCAGTTGTTTCTACCCATCTATCCAATCTGGCAGGAACAGGATGCTGACAGCTAAGATACTGTCAGACAAGGAGTGCCAGCTGACAGAGCCCAGCAGAACAGCCTTTTCTGCCATGGCACCCACCTTTTCAAACTTCATTCCCCCTGAGATTAGATTGGTCCCATCTCTATTAGCCTTTCATAAGACCTTGAGAACCTGACTTAATGCACAAGCTGAGGACCCTGGATGTTGGTCAGAGCCTGGTTGACAGATGAGACAGATGACAGATTAGATTGTACCCAGCTGCTATGTGTTTTTATTCTTGTTTTACAATGTTTCCTGCATTTCTATTTGTTTACTTGTCTAGAGTCAAGTAAAAGTGAGATGTGTGGCTAGATAAATAAATAAAATTACAATAATACATTTATTTTCTAACCATTATTTATCCAATCATGTTAGAAGACAAATCTATAGAAAATATGTGTTCAGATGAAGTGTCATTATCCACTTATCTGACTTTTGATTCTGGTTGGTTCACAATTCTTTCTGGTTGGCTACTTTGGCAATGTTTTTAAATACATGAAAACAATTTTAGAGAGGGAATCTTCTCTTATTTTGGGTACTGATCTCTGCAAAAGTTAACTGAGAAGTTCCATGATATGGTTACATAAGGGTCAATAAATCTAAGAAAAGAGCTATTTAGTAAATGCAAAACATCTGATTATTTGAATCCTATTCTCTTGTACTTCTAGAAAACGATTGGGGGAATGTAACTTATACATAAATGGATAGTTATCAAAAGATGGAACGGAACAATTTGCCACAGCCAACTCACCATGGCCAACTTGCTGTCAGACAATTTGCCACAGGAGAATTCAATCAATATAAAAGTTAAATCAATGTCAACAGAACATGGCAAATAATAATAAAATAAATAAAGTCAATCCATAAATACAAGAGTTACAATAATTTGGACAAAAATGTGGTCACCAATAATAAAAGTAACTGAACAAAATGATTAATGCAACATTGAATTGCCCAGAAGAGTTGTCCTGCAGTAAGTTGGCTGTGGCAAGTTGTCCCATGAAGTATTGGCCATGGTGAATTGGCTATGGCAAGTTGTCCTGGACCCATCAAAAGCTAAGCCAGAAGCATGTTAACCTCCTATTTTCTCTACAATAATCTTGGTCTTTGGTTCAAACATCCCTCAGAATCTCCATTTGATTTCTTGCATATGCAGATTCTGTCTTGTATCTCTTCATCTTTCTCTCCATCACAGATTTCTTCCCAGATATACTTCCTAATTACATTATACTATTGCTTGTAATGTTTTCACTTTAAAAATTATGATTGCTCTTAAATCTATTCATGCCTTTTGAATGTAAACTTTAATCTAACTGTTTTGAGTATATGTTCTACAGACAATTCATTCTTGATTAAGCCACAATGTCTCCAATGTTGCAGCACACCTGTGTTAGTCTATATAAGCAAAAGTGAGGAGGAATTTGGTAGCATCTCTTCAGACTGAATTTAACTTTCATGAATTGCAGTTCACTTCATCAGATCCACGGAATGAATTAACTGATGTAAGATTTAAAGTGGTGTGGAATGGAGTGGGAAGGGTGGAAAAATTAGGGTGATTATACAGATTATATGTGGGATATATTATAAAAACCTTATCAGTTAAGAATGTAATATGTTAAACATGTATTATATTTATTTAGGTTTTCTAAGATTTCTTGAAAATTTTGGGTGTGTGAGTTTGGCCATCTCTCGTTCAATTGTACTGTTAAAAATGTTTTTCTTTTTGTTGTTGTTCTAAAATAACTAGAATTTGTAATGGAGTGTCCTGGAATATTGATATTACTGATCAGTGATATTACTTTGCACTTCCTTACTTCTGTCTATGCATTGACAATCCACATACAATGTTTGACATTGGGTGTCAAACTTGATTTCATTGAGGGCCACGTCAGGGTTGTGTTTGACCTCGGGGGGAGTGGGTGTGGCCAAGGTGGCCAGCTCAACATAACTCATGGTGGGGGCACCTGTGTTGGTCCGAGCATTCTGCCAGAGAAAACAGAGCTTGGAAGGATGGTGCATGGCCTTTGCTGTTTCCAGGGTGGCCTCGCAGTCCAGATGTAAGCATCCATGAGTTTGACACCCCTGGTCTATAGTCTTAAAGCACATTTTTCCTTCTATTTGTTGGAAAGTTCATTTTTATTAAGAGAGGGCATGAAAAAGATGCATTAATGTTTGTTACATTATAGGACAAGGTTATAGTGAGAGGAAGGCAATGCAGAAGGGAGAATTATAAAAGCTAAGAAGGAAAGCCAATATAGAAAGCTGTAAAATTATTGTATATTGGTATGTATGTTCTGTGCTTTGTTTTGTCTTATTGTGTTTTTTTTCTTTGCTGTCTCTTCCTATTGTTTTAATGAAAATTATTTTTTTTTTAAGATGCATTAAAATGCTTATTAATAATAGGAAAATAAAGAACATAATGTGATTTTTCCAATTGCTATAATCTTTATTTTCTACAAATTGAGGCAAAATGTGCTTTAAGACTATAGACCAGGGGTGTCAAACTCATGGATGCTTACATCTGGACTGCGAGGCCACCCTG